TGTAGTAATATTTTACTACATGCTGACCCAGAGGGGAAGAATCTGAGCTGAAGGTGGGTTGTGTGCCAGAAGGGTTATTTTGCAGAAGCACCAGGGCACTTCCATGGGCTCTTCCTTGCGTTGGAGCAGTTTCCCCAAGTGCTGGGAGCAGTGGTTCTGTCCTTCTTTAATGTTAAAAGTTCACATGCAATTGAAATACTGGCTTTCCTATTGGGATGTGGCTTTTAATTAAAAACTGCTCTCAACCCATGCTTGATCAGATACCTGCATGTTGCAGATGCAGATTCAAAACACAGATGGATCTGAGAGATTTCTTGCTTATCTCTTGAAGTTTGCTTCATCTTCCCAGAATTATAGAACTGTTTGGGTTGAAGGGACCTTCAAGACCATCTCATTCCACCCCCTGCCATGGGCAGGGACACCTTCCAGTAGCCCAGGTTGCTCCAAGCCCCATTCTGAACCTGGCCTTGGATACTTCCAGGGATCCAGGGGCAGCCACAGCTTCTCTGGGCAACCTGTGCCAGGGCCTCACCCCCCTCACAGAGAGGAATTTCTTCCTAATTTCCAATCTAAACCTGCTTTCAGTTTGAAGCTGTTTTCCCTTGTTCCTTCTGGCTCTGAAAGGAAAAGACTATTTCCAAGGACTGTCACACTGGCAATGTTGCTGTTTCAATGGTAGATATGACTCATTTCAGTCAAAGCTCTAGAAGAAAGCAACGACCTGAGTGTATCTGTTGAGTGGCTACTAAGCCAGAATATTAACTGTCCCAAGTGTGTAAGGTGCAGAATTTGATGTAATTCAGCCTGATTAAAGCAAGGACGGAGAGTGTGTAAGACATGGAGAGCTGAAGTGTTTTCCTCTTTCCTCTATAGATTTTTTTTTTTGGTCATATTTTAAAAAACAATCCAAAACCAATTGTTCAGTCGCTAATAAATTCCTTTAACCACAAGATGAGTTAAGAAGGAGTGACTGAGGTCAGCAACTCCAAAAAGTGTAGGGTTTCTGCTTTGGCACAAGTGATTATTTGTCTTGATAGCAGAGCAGTTGACTTAATTAAAACACTGTCCACATACCTGGGTAGCTCTGCTGGAGACTAATGTTACCCAGGACAAGAGAATCCTTGTTGAACACGTAGCAGAGTGCGCTGCACTCACTTCTCACTCAGGTTTTCTTTCCTCTGTACTACACATTCATTGTATGTCTCCTTGGAAAATAATATCCCACAAGCACAGTGCCCTGTTGCTTCTGAATGATGCTGCTGTTCCTTCCAGGCTGGACCCCCAAAGACCCTTCTTTTTTCTCTTCTGATTTACCTTGAGGGTGGTCTCACTTTGTAACAACACACACAGCCACCAGAGGAGATGGTCGAGAGCTGATTTGGGGAAACACAGCTGTGTTGGGGCCCAGAGGACCAAATTACATTAATATAACCTCTAACTAAAGATACCAGCTGCAGATTGTATTCTGCATTTGATCTTCCACTGATGAGAATGGGAAAAACTTGTGTCAAAACAAAAATGGGAGCCCAGTCTTTGCTTATAAAACAACCCTCATCCCTCCAGTGTTTGCATCGCAGTGCCATTTATTTATAGTGTGGTGATGAATTGGACAAAATCACTGCTTGGGCATTTCAGCTTGGCCTGAGGAGTGGGTTAATTCTTACGTTTCTAAATTTGAGTCAAAATTCCCTGTTGGAGACAAGTACTCAGGCATTTAAGTGCATTTTGGCTCTTCAGTTAACACAGAAGCAGCTTGGTAAGAACAGTTAACAATGCAAATCCACTGTTTCAGGCTGAGGATCAGTTGCCTTCTAGAGTTGTCTCTGCTGGGATCAGAAGATAAACTGAATTCTGCAAGAGTCTGACTGTGCACAACAGTCATTTAAATGCTTTAAGAAGATTCAATACTTGACATGGAGATGAATCAGCCTTGTGAACATGGAGCTGAAGTGTTTAAAGCTGCAAATTACCTTGTTCAAATTCCTGCCTTTGCCTTGTAAGCAGTTTCCCAGAATAAAGAGTGCATAAATCTTGTAAATTCCTTCTTAGGAAGTACAGCAGCTGTTGAAAGTTGATGTAAGAAATTATATAAAAATTATGTTTTTGGGGTAACCATGCCAGACTTGGATGCTTTTCCAATAATTAGAATTACACAAGTCCTTCCATCAGCTGGAATATCTAGTTTTTTGAAAAAATACTGTTGAAATTTTCTAATATTTCCAAAGTAGGTGAGTGGGTTTTATTGTGAAAGAAGGAGAAAATAATAGATTTCCTGGAGTCCTGTAGAGTGTCTGTACCAAGGAGACAGTGGATATAGAGCTGCTTGTTACAATGGAGGATTATAATACACTGCAGTATTATATTCTAGGAAGTGTATGACATAATGCACTCACTGTTAGGGCTATAAGAATAACCACAGCCCTTAGAAATTGGGAAAGTGACCCTACTCAGGAATATTTGTTGCCAAACCATCCAGAGATAAGTTTAGCGTGGAAATTCAGTAGATTGCACCTTAAAACCAATGTGTTTGATTCCTTCTAGTCCATATGGAATTGTGCTCTCCTGCTGAGCCATGTTGGAAACTCCACACTGGGCATGTGCTGTTCTTAAAAGAAAATTAAATCTAAAAGTTATTTGTATGGGGTTTTTGTAAGGGTTGTAAATTCAGCTTTTCTGCAGGGGAGTTGACTCTGCCTTGAGTTTGGGGTTTCTTGTGGAAATGCTTTGTGTGTATGTTTGGGATTGAGGAATTGCACAGCGAGACCTCTGGTGCTCCCTCCCCACACATGTAATGGAGGGATTCCCAAGGAAATTAAATGGAAACAGAACCTGAGGGAAATGCCCCTTTTCCCCCAGTTCTGTTTTCATCGTGATTACTCATCCCAAACACAGGTCAGAGTGTTCCTGGACACTTCTCTCTGTGCTGAGGGGCTCCTGGGCAAGGAGCAGCTGGGAGGAAGGGATATATCCCACTGATCACCCCTGGGAACAGGCTGAAGCACAGCTCTCACTGCTCAGGTGCTATGGGGCTGGTTTTGTTGCACCCAAAATTGGAGCAGTGTTCTTGTGGGCCTGAAGAGTCAGCCCCAAATTAATGGTTGATGGGGAAGAGAAGGAAAGAACAAAGTGGATCCAGATGGGCTCACAGAGACATCGTTTCACTGAACTTGTGCCACGACACTGCTGATCTGGATCAGCTCTGGGGAATATCAGGGCTGTCTGTTCGCAGGAAAAGGAAGGATTTCCTGAAAAGCTGCTGCTTCCTGTCCACTTGTATTTACCAGTGAAGGTGTTTTGAGGCTGCTTCAGCCAGAGCTCCAGGTATCAAGTGATGAAGTTCTCAGAGAGCATTGAGCTGTATCTAAACACTGATCTCTCTGCTCTTAGTCTGGGCTCTCCGGGTCCCCCTCTTACCATGTTACAGTGTATAGAGACCAAAGTAACAGTGCTCAAACTAATATTTCAGCTTTTTCAGTACTGTTGGTAACTTTACCAACCATGTCTTGCTTTGCCTCTTATTTTTTATATGTTTACGGAGTGATTGTGTGGGTCAGGTGTTGCATTCCTTGCTGGCCATATCTTAGAATCATGGAATGGTTTGGGTTGGAAGGAACCTTAAATCTCATGTGGTTCCACCCCCTGCCATGAGCAAGGACACCTCCCCCTAGCCGGGTTGCTCCAAGCCCTGTCCAAGCTGGCCTTGGACACTTCCAGGGATGGGGCAGCCACAGCTTGTTCTGTCATTTGCTATTTGTGGGTTTTTTGGTCTTTCACAATTGCATTGGTTTACGTATCCCTGCTTCCTTTGATTATCATCCTCTGTAGTTATTGCTTTGTACTTGGGATTAGAAATGTTTTTGTTTCAGGCATTTTGATCTCTTATGTCCCATCTAGTGCATTAAAATAGTTTCAGGGCTGCTGCATCTCAAATTTGGTTTTTTTTCTCCTCTAGGCTTTTCCTATATTTTCTTTATTTCTTCTTCCCTCTCCTTTTCATTTCTTATGAGTTGTGAATTTATCACTTCATGATTAATCTTACCCTTGATTGCCTTTTGTCCTCATGTTCTCAGTCAGGATTTTATCTCTACAACTTAGAGTGAAATGTAGAAGAGATTCCACACTTGTTATTTCTATTATTATTTTATTAGCACATTGTCACCAATCTATTCAAGAATTTACCACTTGTCCTGTGATCCTGTTGGGAAAGGACCTCAATGGGATCATAGGGTGTTTTGCTTTAATCCCTTTCTCTTGCAGTGAAATCTGGAAAGTTTTTCCAACAGGAAATACACAATACCTCATTTGTTTAATAATAACAGCTCCAGGAATGATTTGTTGATTGTCACTGCCATGCCCTGAAGTCTGTGCAGGGCAGATGGAGTCTCATCCCTTTGCAGGATGTCCCAGCCTCTCTGCCATGGTAAAAGCAGAGCTTGTCTTTCTCCATATGAAGTGCAGGGAGGCACCAGTGGGTTCTGGACCCATTAAAATCTACCTGTGCAGGAGATGTGTTGGATTTTACATGTGCACACACACGGACACATGTATTTTTATTACCCAGCATAGTCCTGTTTGGCCACCTGCCTGGAAACTCTTGTAAACTCAACCCAGAGTGGGAACTTGGGAAAAACACACTGCAGCGTGTGGATGGCGTGTTCCTTTAGCAGCTCCCTCGTTTCCACTCCACTTTAAATATTTACCTTTATCCGTCAGTCCTGGACAATCACTTTCCCGGCTGCTTTGGCACATGGTGAATGTGGAACGTGTATATATTGAAGTGAGCTGGACCACACCAGTGGTTGGGTAATTAAATCTGAAATTACTGGAGGTGGGGGCATAAGATTGTGCTATAACTTAAGTGCAGCTTAACCTAAAGAGTTTTGGCTTTGGGGCAGATGTAGGCTGTTAATAACACAATCTGTTCTTAGGGGTGCCAGTCTCTTTTAACTTCTACGTGTTTCCCTCTCTTCCCTCCCTGTGGTTTTTCTCCAAACCCACAGGTCCCGAGCCTGTGTGAAGATCTCCTCTCCTCTGTGGATCAGCCCTTGAAGATTGCACGAGACAAGGTGGTAGGAAAAGACTATTTACTGTGTGACTACAACAGAGATGGGGACTCGTACAGGTGAGCTCGTACCCCAAGCAGGGCACTGACTGGTGCTTTGTAAATGAGAGCTTTGTACAGGTACTGCAGGCCCTTCTTGCTCTTATTTCCAGACAGAAAAAAATCAGTCATCTAAAGATTTAAAGCCTAAAATGTGCTGTTATTATCTTGTTAAAGGGCTGACTGACATATTTCTCTTTGCTCTCAGTATTCTGAATTAAAACCAGTCGATTCTCCAGCAGAAATGACTGGAATGGCCTTGATAGGAAATAAAACATTGCAAAGTTATAAAATCTTTGGAATGGATAATGACAGAAAAGAGATGATGCAAGCAGTTGGTTTTAACAAAATCATCTTCTGCTTGTACAAAACAGGGTGGATTTGCCAGCTGGGAAAGGCTCTTTCACTCGTGTTTTGCAAGGGATTGACTCTGGACTCAATGTCACTAGTTCTGTTTGAAAATCTTGGCCCAAGTCTTTAGCAAAGAAAAGGAATTCCTGTCTACCAAAATAGCTGATTTATCCTGAGGACTGTAGACAAAACCAATGAAAGTATTTGAACAATATAAACTGTCTGTAATTACAATATAATTAGTTTTGAAGTAGAAGGGGTGGTAAGTACCATGGAATGGTACAATGAGGTTTCAGTGTTTTGGCTGGCATTTTGAATAGAGTCTCTCTGTGAATGTTTTTATCCTCTGCCTTGCCATTGGGATGATGATTTTTATTTATTTTTTAATTATCCCCTCCCCTTTTTTTGCATTGCCCGACTTTCCTTAGTGGCTGTAGTGACAGTGGCATAGTCCCAAATATTTAATTAAGAATCACAAACTTATAGTCCAGAAACCTTTGTGAATATTCGCTTTTATTCTTTCCCTTAACAAAGGGCTGCGAGGTAAGGACCCCCATTCATCTTCTGTCCTGAGTTACCAGCTCAGCCAAACTGCTGCTTCTGGGGGTGACTGTGATTGTTCCACCTGATGTGGATTACACAGAGAACATGCTGAGATTCATTTTGTCCTAGAAACAGGAGGAGAAGAATGATAATGGATGCAGAGTTTGACAGTGCATTTGGATTGTGGTTGAGTGTAACTCCTGATGAGTTGTTTTAAATATAATGTATTGCAGAGGGCCAAGAAGTAGCAGATCTTGAAGGTGAAGTGTCACGTTCTTTAGGGCACTTGTTTAACATTTAAAATTATTGGAACCTTTTACGAAAGAGCCTGGTGCCTTCTAAAAGCATTAAGCTTTTGTCTCAGTTGGTCAGATCTACCTTAGCAGCTACATGCACTTAATCAGTTCTGAATTAGTAGATAAAATATGGTTTTGCAGGGTCTGCCCTGTAGCCAAGATGTACCCACACAGTTGCAGACCCTCTGGAAGATGCCAGAGGAGGGAATAGGTCCTGAATTTTTTGTGGATCTTTCAAGAGATGCTTTCTCCCTGAAGTTGTGATGTTTCTTGCAGTCCCTTTGCATCCTATTCAGGCTTTTGTCATGAGCATCCGTCACCAGAGTCACAGGAAACTGGCAGAGTCACTGATTAAATAGGAATGTGACATTCTGCAATCACTAGTAATCCCTCCATGTTTAATTAGGACACATGGCAGCCCTTTCTCCAAGGGTAGTATCATATTTGCCTCTGAAATTTGCTCCATCTCTTTCTGAGAAGGCATTTAAATAGTTACAGGGGAGCAGGAGGAATTTGGTTTTTAAAATCACTTTGAAATTTTCAGGACTTGTTAAGTAATGAGGTTTCAGAAAAGCTGTTTCATTTGTTCCTATAGAACAGGCATCATGTGTTAATTGCTGGCATTAAAGATTCCTGTTCTGTTTGATTCAGATGTTCTGGATTGAAGTGATTCTTCCTTCTGGAATTGATTGGTCCCAGCTCTGTTTCATGAAGCAAATTCTTTCCTTCCCCACACAGCAAAAGCCTTTGAAAACCAGCCCCACTTCCCTGTGCATGTTAATCCCATTCTATGCCTGTGTCCAGACACTTCTTCGTACCTTGTAAAACCTGCAGTTGTTACTGGGAAGTGGCTCTTACCCTAATTTAACCAATTAGCCCCAAATTCTCTGTGTTTTTAAAAGCTTTTGATATTTCCACAAACATTTTTCAGAACCACACGCTCGATTAGAAGTCCCAAAGAGTCCTATTCCCTGCCTGCAATGGGTTCCATCCCCAATTCCCACATACTCCAAACCAAACCTTTTCTTCTTATTGGACAGGTTGCTAATTGCATTTCTTTTAATGCTAATCCAAGGATTTCAAACCATTCTGTGGACAACTAAGCAGGAAAGGTGGGGCTGGGTAGTCAGACTTTCTCACTGGGATTCCAGTTTTATAGGGTGTTTTTTCTTGAGTGGCTTTACAATTTGACTGGGAATTTGATTGGAAAAAAGCTGCTGTGGGAAGTGAATATCTTAATGCTTGGCCCATCACAGTTTAGTCTTTCCTCGTATTTAGGCAGATTCGATTTTGTCCGTGTTGAACATGAATCAGATTAGAAGATGGATTTTTGGAGTCTCTCTTGGATCTTTATAAATACATAATTTTAATTTTCTTCATATTATGAACTGCTGCCTGTGGGGGCAGCTTTTGGTGCTTGAAGTTTCACAGGTACTTCTGGAATGTTACTGGAATAACAGAGGTTTGTGGAGGATCTCAAATAGCCACAGAATCGACATTGTGAAGACAGAGCTTTTATTAATTATTTTTTTTAATATTAAACTTCAGGGTCCTGACTTTGTCCATACATATCCACTCAGAGTGTGTTTGATCACTCTGTTAAATGGAATCCTTATGGGGAATTTGGTGCCAACAACACTGAAACCTGTTAGCTGAAACAAAAACCTTTCTCTTCTAGGGAAATTAGAGGTCTGACTTTGGAAATTTAAGTGCTTGCCCATCTGTCTTTCTTCAAATAGCCTCCAGTTAAATGTTTGAATGTGTTCTGAGTGCTCTTCCACAAGAATAAAAAATACAGGGTTGTGTCAGGAGGTTTTTTATTGGTAAAGTCGCTGCTGGTTCCAAGTGGAATGGGTTGAAAATGTCACAAAGTGCTGGCTAGAAGAATCTGTTCCTAGACTGCTCTTAAATCCCAGTCTGCAGCCTGAGGAGGAGGTCTGATGTTTGCAGTGAAAGTATCTTCACCAAGGTCCTGCAGGAATTCTCTGCCCACCAATTGGTTTGGAGATCCCACCTGATGGGAGTAGATGAGCCATTTTGGAATCCTCAGGTAGCACCAGAGGGGATTTTTGTGTGAATCTCATCCAGATTTCAGAGATTTTAGGTAAAAGAATGAAAAGATGGGCTGAGAGGGGATGTCATCTGTGTCTGTCAGTGTCTGCAGGGAGGGGACAGAGGATGGACCAGGCTCTGCTTGGAGGGGCCCAGCAATGGGACAAGAGGAAATGGTCAGAAACTGATGCCCAGGAAGTTCCACCTGAACATGAAGAACTTCTTTACACACACTGGAACAGGTTGTTTAGGGAGGGTGTGCATTCTTAATCCCTGGAGATATTCCAGACTCATCTGGACACAAATGTAGTGCCATGTGCTCTGGGATGACCCTGCTGGAGCAGGGAGGGGGGACCAGATGAGCCACTGTGGTCCCTTCCAACCACACCCATTCTGATTCTGTGCTGTAGCTGTTGATTATTCTCCAATGCAACCACATTTTAGGCAACTGTTTAAAATCACAGGATTGTTGAGGTTTGAAAATCCCTCCCGACCCATGGAGTCCCCCCTGTGCCCCATCCCCACCTTGTCCCCCACCCCAGAGCACTCAGTGCCATGGCCAGGCCTTCCTTGGACACCTCCAGGGGTGGGGACTCCACCGCCTCCCTGGGCAGCCCCTTCCAATGCCTGTCCACCCTTTCCATGGAGAAATTCCTCCTGATGTCCAACCTGAGCCTCCCCTGGCACAGCTGGAGGCCGTTCCCTCTCCTCCTGTCCCTTGTTCCCTGGGAGCAGAGCCCGACCCCCCCCAGCTCCCCCCTCCTGTCAGGGAGTTGCAGAGCCAGAAGGTCCCCCCTGAGCCTCCTTTTCTCCAGGCTGAGCCCCCCCAGCTCCCTCAGCCGCTCCTGCTGCTCCAGCCCCTTCCCAGCTCCCTTCCCTTCCCTGCACACACTCCAGCCCCTCAATGTCCTTCCTGAACTGAGGGGTCCAGAACTGGACACAGCATTTGAGGTGAGAAGCACAACCTGAAAACATCACTCTAGGTGGATGTGACACCATGATTTAGCTTTTCCTGGGGTCTCACCTTTGGAGCCAGATGTGTTCAGGAGGAGTGAAGGGAGCAAAGCTGAGCCTGGTCTTTGTGCTTTATATCAAACACATGTCAGAACTCACTGCCTTCCTGAGAAATGAGTAGCAAATGGTTCCTGAGGGAAAACCCTTCCATAGGGTCAGCATTAAGACCTGGCTGGGGCGTTTGGAAAAGTGAGGAGGTACAAGGTAGAGGTACGTTCCTTTAAACCAGCAGTGATATATGTAGGTGGTTATTCCAAGGGGAAATGGGAATTATAAAAGCCTCAAACAGATGGGCAAAGGGTTCCATTAATCTTTTAATACCAAATCTTTCATTAAGAGCATGAAAAATCTCTTCCACTCCTGCAGAAATCACAGTAAAACCTGCAGCTTTACAAACCCTGTTAAATCCTTCAGACTGTTCAAAGGGTTTCCTAATGTTATGCTGAAGGTAGAGTTTATTTCAAAGCAAAACAGTGGAGAAGAATTTGGGCCTTAATTGTAGAGAGCAGTGTTTGGCTCAAGTAGTGTCAGATCCCAAATAAACTTATTTTTATTATTAAAGCATCAATATTATTAAATAATAATTTTATTATTAAACGTTAAATTTGCATGAAAATAATTTCATATATTTGATGTGGAACAGCTGAATTTTGGGGGTCAATGTCCCCTTTTTGCCAGTGTTTGAAATCACAGAATAAGTGGAGTTGGAAGGGACCCACAAGGATCATCGAGTCCAACTGGCTGTTGACGGTGCAATTCTTAACAGGTAGATTGCTCTGGGCACTTTCTGGGTTTTTTTGGAAGTTAATCTGTGGATCAGGTCAGACCCACCAATATTAAACCTCTCAGAGCCACAGAATATCCTGAGCTGGAAGGGACCCACAAGAACCATTGAGTCCAACTCCTGGCCCTGCACAGGACACCCGACAATCCCACCATGTCCCTGAGAGTGTTGTCCAAGCATTTCTTGAACTCTGGCAGGTTTGGAGCCATGACCAGAGTTTGTCTCATTGTCTGACTGTGTTTTTCTTGTCTCCTTGGCAGGTCTCCATGGAGCAACAAATACGACCCTCCCCTGGAGGATGGTGCCATGCCATCGGCTCGCCTGCGCAAGCTGGAGGTGGAAGCCAACAATGCCTTTGACCAGTACAGAGACTTGTATGTCAGTTCTACCCTCCAGAGCCCTCTCTTTCTTTGTTTCCCTCAGCAGACACGGTCTGACATGTGGTCCCTACCCCAGGGTGTAGAAGGAGGGGAGGCAGTGCTGATTTAATGATCCAAAACATGATCAAATCTGTCAGCTCATGCTAAAGGCAGATGCTGAGGTGCTTCCCTGCCTCCCTCCCCCCTCTAACAAATTGACGGTATCTTTGTCCTAGAGTGACCTGTGTTTTCTTCGATCTTCAAGTTCAGTCTTGAACCATCTGTATTTTCCATTCCCTCAAGGCTGTACACTCAAAAAATCCATATATTCAGCAGCAACTCTCATATCTTCCAATGAAATGAACACTGAAATGCAGCAGTTGGACAGGGATTAATGTGCTTCTGCTGCAGGATGTTTAGTTAGGCCCTGTCTTGTTAAAGAGGTGTAAAGCAGAGGAATTAATAGAGCATATGTAAGATAAATGTAGATTAGGCAGTGGCTTTTTTTAAAGCAGCAATAGGAAACTGTCTGGGGGACTTCTCAGGTGAACAGTTTTTCTAAAAATTAGGATTGCACTGGTCTTGCACTGCAGTTAATCCAGGGTCTTGAGATGTGGTCAGGTTTAGCTGTTGTGTTTGGAGACTAAGGTCTTCTAAGCAGTGCTGAGATGGACATAGTAATGCTAAATCTAAACAGCAAGGGAGTGTTGAAAAGCAAAATGAACTAGTAAGTTTATCCAATACTGAGATACTTCCTTGCTGGAGATGTCTAACAACCATGAACAAGGTGAACAACCTTCATTGCTGCTTCATGTTGCCCAAAACGAGATAAAACACATCCTTAGATGTAGTTCATCATGTTACAGTGCTGACAAAAGCACATTTAAAGGAAGTTTTCTTGCTCGATTTTGTGGCTCGATGCAAGTGTAGCCTGTCCAAATGTGTAATCGTCGTACTTGTGTTACAGGTATCAAATTTTTACTTCTTTCCATGCATTATTTTCATAGCCGTTCAACTTCTCCTGTAAGTAACAGTTGTTATTGCTATCTGAACTGACTGGAAGAAAGGAATTATGCCTATTCAGCAAAGCCAAGCTTGCAGTTATTCCCCAGATGCAGAACAGACCAATAAGTTTTTTAATACCCTAAGATGAAAATAAGGTGGTGTATGAAACCAGGGTTGTCTGTTTAAATCCCTCTCTGCTCAGATGACTGTGAAGTCAGGACTGGATACAATAACTTCTTTAAACAGCTTTAATTTGCTGGAAGGAAAGCCGGGGGCAGGTTACTCTGAGTGAGGGGAATCTACTGAGCCCTGCTCAGCTTGGGGTACAGCAGTAATCTTAATATATTGTGTGGGGGGGAAAAAAGGTGAGATTGTACCAAATTCATCTTTCAGTTTGTCAGTGCAACTTTTATAGGCAGGACATGGGAGGGGTCTGGGAAGGATTCATTTGGTGTCAGCAGCCAGGAAGGACAGAGGCAGCACAGGACTAGATAAGCACACCTGTCAGTACAGTGGCATTTTGATGCCACTTATGATCTCAAAAATGGGTGAGAAAAAGGGAACAAGGGTGGCTTATGTTTTGCAGAGCACTGTAAAAATTTAGCGTTTGTGGAAAGGATTTACAAAGTTAAGGAAACTTAACCTTAGTATCTGGAAGTTAAGTAATGATTTGTAATTTACCGTCAACAGAGATGTGGAGAGAAACAGGCTTTTGCTCTTGCAGTAGGCCTCTGCAGTTCCCTTAATAACACAATTGGATTTTTGTGTTTTGACAGCAGAAGCTTAATTTTTACTTGGAGATCAGAGGAGGGGAAATTCGGGGGGGTAACAAGTGCCAGCTTCTCTCAGTGCTGCTCTTGCCAACACTTCAGGTTGGGAAGGACTGCAACAATTCCTCACACAGCAGCTGCTGGAGCCACATGGGAGTCTGGAGTGTGGGGAGGGTTGTAGTGAGAATAAGATGGCAATGTCAGTGATGTAATTCCCAGAGTCTGGAAATTAATCCTGGGAAGGCACTGGAAAGCCACGAGTGGATTTGAGCCAAGTGATGTTGATTAAAGGTGTCACTGCCCTGCTGGTCTGGCAGCTTGTGGTGCTGGGAAGGGAGGGCCCAAAGCATCAGCTCCATGACAGAGATTCCAGAGCCAGTGACAACAGAGCTTTTCCAGCATTGTGAAACACTTCAGGCTCATTGGAAAGTTTTGTCATGTTAATCAAAGAACTAAGTAGTCTGCTGGCAGCACATGGGACTGTATCTTTTGTGAAAATTTTGATTTCTGGTAGATGGGGAGGTTTCTTCCAGGTTCACCTTCCAGGAACACGGTGATCATAATGTAGGCTGGATGCAGAAAAACTAAATATTGAGTTGACCTGCAGAGACTGATTGTTTCTGTTCACTCTGATGGGGTTGTCTCTCCAAACAGACCATTCATAGGTGCCACCAAGGTAATTGATACTCCACATCACAAACTCTTTCTTAAAAAATACGAGTTTTAAGTGCAATGGCTGCAGATTAAGAGGATGAACATTATACTGAGGGAGAAGCCTCCAATGTGACACATCACCAGCAGTCCCTTAAGAGACCTTCCACTATCCCAGGTTGCTCCAAGCCCCATCCAACCTGGCCTTGGACACTTCCCAGGATGGGGCAGCCACAGCTTCTCTGGGGACCCTGTGCCAGGGCCTCCCCACCTTCCCTCACAGGGAAGAATTCCTTCCCAATATCCCATCTAACCCTGGCAGTTTGAAGCCATTCCCCCTTGTTCTGTCACTCCAGGCCCTTGTAAATATCTCTCTCCATCTTTCTTATAGCTCCTTCAGGTACTACAGTTAGGTCACCCCAAAGTTTCTCCAGGCTGAACACCCCCATTTCTCTCAGCCTTTCCTCACAGGAGAGGTGCTCTCAGAGGGTGCTCTGCATGGGGCTCACTTCACTCCTCAGCTTTAAAATACATCTAATACTGGTCATTGCAGCAGGGAATGGAAGAGGAAGACTACCTTTCTGTGAATAAATAAGTACTTCTGAGAGTGTCTGCTCTTCCCACTCTGCTTTCTGCATGTGGCCCAAACCTCCTCTGGATTATCTCCCATTTTAAGCACAGAAAAGCACAGATAAACACAGAAAAGTGCTGATATCTCACAGAATTTGTCTTGGGCCTCTCCCAACACTTCAGATCATTTCAGTTTTCCCTTGAATCAGTTCCGCTTGGCCCCCGCACCATTCCTTTTTAGATTTCTCCTTTAATCAGGTGTGGAAAGTCTCCACCTCTGTTCAGTGAGTCATTGCATTGTATTTGCCATTTCCCAAGGGGTTGGCACCTGCTACCGTGGGTGTTTTGAGGAAACAGCCTGTTACGGATTTGCTAACTATTTGTGTGAAACTATCCATTTGGATTTGCTTGCTGGGGACCCTAAAATTGAGTTTTGTCCCCAAGAGCTTAGTGGCCAGTGCACTGAGTGACTGTAGTGTGAAAACAAGTTTGGAGAAGTCTTGTAATATTGCATGGGATTCTTTAAAATCATGAAAACTCAAGAGGAATAATTTTGCTGAACCTTCAGTGCCTCTTAACCAGTGCTGAGTTGCTCTTAAGTGTTTGGTTTTTTTAATGCAAACTACCTTTGAGTATCTCTGGAGTTTCCCGCCTTTTCTTCCTGGAGTCATATCCACATCTTTTTGAGTTAAAGAGGGATTATCCCAGGTTTTAATTTCCTCTCTATTCTCTGTGTTAAACAACAAGCATATTTCTGGGTTATCTGTTTTACCAAAATCCATGTCGCTTTCCCAAAAAGCAACTGTTCCATTTGGATCTCCTGCTGCCAAGTTTAACTCAGACACTGCCTGCAACTAATGCCCTGGTATGTTTTTGTTCAGTAGGTTATTATTCCCAGATGGAAGTCTAATATCTTACACCACTCAGTTAGAGCCTTGGCTTTCCACTTCCAATATTGTGAACATAATTTCTTCCAACACATGGTAGTAATTTATTGCCCTTTTCTTGACGTGTGTGCGCTTGATTGAAATCAAAGCGTAATGAGGACCAGGGCATCTGGTTAAATCTCTTCTATTTTAGATTCTGCCTTCCCTTGCTTTGGGTTGAAGATAATCAGGGCTTTAATTAAGTAATCTAATGGCTTTTTGTTGTCTGGAAGAAATAATTTCTGTAGTGATTAAACAAACCTCCCTGGGGAAGGATGCTGCTGCTCTGTCTACAAACAGGATGAGTTTTGGCAACTTTGGGCTGGTTTAGTGAGCTGACATGTATTTAGAAAGCTATTCCTCCTTTTTTTTCTTGGCTTAAATGGGATTTATTGGTGCTTTTGATTTTTAACAACTATAAAAAAAAGATGAAACACTCATCTTAATCGTTCTGCTCCTGAAAATGTTTGTATTCATTAAGTTTTTAGTTCCCTCAACAGAGTAAGCAATGAAACCTTTTGAACTTCTGCTTCTGTCTGTGTTTTGATGTTGATCCATTTTCAGTTTGTTGTATTAGAGCTCTGGACTAGGAATTTGGTAGGAGCGAAAGGAGGTCTGGGAGAGGATTGACCTCTAAAGTGTTTTTGTTGTGTGTAATCCTTTTATTATTGAATTTTGATTGGAATCTGGGCCAGAACAGTTAATCACACTGATTTTGGATGGTGCACCCCTGCCAGCCAAGCATCTGCAATGTTCTTTGCAGAGTGAATAGAACCTAAACTGAGCACCCATCACTGTCCTCTGTTCAGCTGGAGAGGGAGAGGCTGCAGAAACTCCCTGTGTGGTGCCTCAGGAATATGTGGATTGAGGAGCCTTTTGCTAGAGAGCTTGTTTGGGTACTGCCATGAAGTCCCAGTGACAGATGAGTTGCCCTTTCATTTTTAGAGTGCTCAGGGCTGACTTTAATTTTTATTTTTAACTATTGTGTTTAATCTCATGAAACAGCCTTGCTTTGCTGAGCTTCAGGGATGTCTCATTTTGACTCTGACTCACTGCCACTGAACCCTGTGCCACCATCTATACCAAGTATGTT